TAGCTCCCCTTCCTTAGTTTCCTCAGATTTTTTCCTGCATGAAACTGCTTTGACAAAGAAGTGTTTTATAATCATTTTCCTGGCCAGACAAAATGGACCTGCAGACGGGCTTCAGCAACTTCTCCTATAGAAAATGCCTGCTCTACTTAGCAAATCTTCAGAAAAAAAGCAAAAATCTTCATGCAAGTTATTATTGGCCGCTAAGATATCACGTAGCGTCGTGAGTGATGAGATTCTGTGGTGATATCGGAGAACAATCGGTTTGTGCGAATTAATACAATGTGGTGATCCTTCCAGTTGTCGCCAGTATATAAGCTTTGGCAGTGCCTCTCTGTAAGGCGCCGCCTAGGTCCAATTTCGTGGCAGATTCTGGACAACCATGGGTCACTTCATTACGTCAGCAGTCTACGATGATAAAACAGTTTGTCGAACAACTGTTCACTTCGTGCTGTGACACTGCTGGCAAGTAAAGGTACTCTGATAACGTTTGAGTATCCTTCAGATCTTGCTTTTTCCGGAGGGGACGGATCGTGGCGAAAGAGCCGTGAGGTTAAGCGATGAGTTTGCGAAAGAGCATGGCTTGCCAATTTATAATTTCGTGTTGCATCCGCGTACGACTGGGTTTACCTATATGATGCGATTGATGCGTGAAAGTAAGTGTTTGATTTTTATAAATTTCGCTGGTGTTCTGCGTGTGCTTCTACTAAAACTTGATGAGGCTACCGATGAATTTTTTCCGAGTATGTATGGGAATTGAGATGAGGATGGGGTTTGAACGATTTGAGTACCGGTTCCCGTTCAGATGAACTATACAGAAGTTGTACTCCTAACATTTGATTTTGAGTCACAGCAAATTTGTCCCAATTTTTATGCGTTTTCTGCAGCTATGCAATGCGGAAAACTCATATTGACAAGAGGTTTTCTGTGTGTGTTTGTTTGTTTGTGTGTGTGTGTCTGTGTGTGCACAGGGCCTCTGTACCGATTTTTCATCTCGAGACCTACAAAAGCTACAGGGCTGAAACTTTGGGGACTTATCTACATTCACGTTCGGGCCCCCATCCCCAAAATGGGCGATCTTTTCCGCGTGGTACCCAAGTAAGAGTCCGCCAAGTTTTTTTACGGATAAGCTGCTAACTCGCGAACCAGAAAAGCTAGAAAGCTGAAATTTTAAGGGGATGTTTCCCATCCAAGTAGGTACAAATAAGCTCAAATCCAGCCCCCGGGTAAGCGTGGTACCCGCGCACGGAACTTTCAACTTCTTGCAAGTTAACAATGCCTCTCCGAA